ACTAAGGCTGCAGCTGCTGAAGGAATCCACCTGGGCATTAAGCATATTTCTGGCTGTGAGTGAATCAAATAAGAATTAGGGAAAGACTAATTGGTCTTGGGGTTATAGGTGACCTCCATTTCCTCCTCCAAATTTCTTTTACTGAAACCTCCCATATTTGATCTTTTATTACATAATATATACACATATATGCATATGTATAATTTTATTACACCAGGAATAGAGAAACTAGCAAAAGAAAAGGCTTGGGTTGAAAAATGTTGAGATCGTTGGATTTACCTCCGAGTCACTTCAAATTGTTGAGGCAGTGGAGAAAGTTAAGTGCATCTTTAATGCGATCTACTTTCTCTTGCCATCCTTAGGAAAACATCTTTTGGAAATTCTGCTTAATTACCATGGCTGTAGGTTTGTAGATTAATGTATTTGCATTTAAATGTAGATTAAAAAGTTTAATTCCTTTTAAAAGCATTGGCATTATTGTATGGCTTGCATTTTATGTTCACAGGCTGATAAGAGGAGCCTGCATTTCTTTTGTTCTCATCTCTATAAAATTTGGTGTAGGGTCAATATATCATCTTATCTTATAAAAATTCACAATATTTTTGTTAACAAAATACAACAAACTGCTGCTAAATTCATTCATTACAGTCTTACTTCCAAACTGCTTTTCTAGGAAAATTTATTTTTTCAATGCTTTATTAACAGACTAAAAAAAATCTAAGATTTGAATGAGAGGAGCAGTGTCTTATGATTTATAACAAGCTATGGCTAGCCCTTAAAAATATTTTGAGATATGTATTCTGTAATATGAATAATTGTGATTTGTAATTCTGGACATAATATATATTTTTAAACTAGCATATGCTCTATCATCAACTCTGAAGGCTTATCCACATTATTTGGTTTCAGACGTGTTTTTTTTTTATTATTAAATCATAGCTGTGTACATTAATGCAGTCATGGAGTACAATGTGCTGGTTTTATATACAATTTGAAATACTTTCATCAAACTGGTTAACATAGCCTTCACTGCATTTTCTTAGTTTTCTTAGTTATTGTGGTTAGACATTTATATTCTACACCTAGTAAATTTCACAGGTACCCTTGTAAGATGCAGGGTAGTGTGGTCCCACCAATTACCTTCCCTCCACCCATCCTCCCCCCTCCCCTTATAGAGATGTTTTCATATTAATGTCCCAAAGAATGGGTCATCCGCATGAGAAATTAGAAACCACTAATCTATTGCAAAAGGTGAGAATTATTCTTTGCTGTTGGTTGAAATAGTTGATCAGTATTTAATATTCTGTTGTCCACTGGTTAATTGAAATTGAGAAAGATCAATAATGATGTATGCAGATTGTGACAGGAAGAAAGTTTAATCATTAACTTACACATGTACAGTTTTACTAAGGATGGAATCTGTGTTTGGAGTTGTGATTACGTAATTATTTAATCATTGCTTTAAAATGCTAATAAAGACTTTGAGAACTAGCTTAAATGATTCTTGGGATACACTGCCGGTGACAAACATGAATTTGGCTTCCGATACTGTGAAACTGGGACATACAACTCTAGGACTAGATACTGAAATAATAACAAACAGTACTTGTAGGCCTTCCTAAAAATGGCTCAATTAACTCTACTCATGTACATTTGTTCTACTTAGAATTCATGGAAACAGAATTCTAAGTATAATTTAGAATTTAGAAATAGATATGAAGTAAAGTATCATTTATTCAAGGTCATATAACAATTTGTTTTCTGAGCTAGAAACAGAAACTCAGTTTCCTAACATCCTTCCCAAGCTACGATATGGATATCACTGGAAATTCCATGTGTAAAACTTCAACCAAGGGCGGTGCCTCTGGCTCAAAGAGTAGGGCGCCAGCCCCATATACCGGGGGTGGCAAGTTCAAGCCTGGCCTCGGCTAAAACTGCAAAAAAAAAAAAAAAAAAAAAAAAAAAAAAAAAAAAAAACAGAAAAAACAACTTCGATCAAGTTAGATCTATTTAAGCCCTTTGAAAATGGTGCTTGCTCTGTAATTCCACGTTTCTGACTGATTATTGTGTAGTAATTCAGTGTTTTGTTTTGTTTTTTAGTTAGCAGCATTGGAAGCAGTAAGCTTTAAGCTTTTCTAGGATTTTTTTTCTTTTTAAAATGATACTCATATGTGTAGGGGTTACATTTAACATTCTATTTTTGAGATTTTGGAGTTAAGAAAAAAGGAAGGAAAATAAGAGAAATATGTAAAACCATATTAAATGTTTATGTGAAAGTGAATCATTTGAAACATTTCAATTGCTACTACATGTGTGACATTGCAGAATTATTTACCTTCTCTGTCCCTCAGTTTACTCACCTGTAAAATAAGCATGATGTACATATAACTTATTTTCCAATACCCTTGGGTCTGAGGGTGTTTCAGGTTCAGAATGACTGGGATTTTAGAAAGTAAGTCAGTGCACGCTATACATTTATATAGCAGACACTGCAAGGTCTTAGGCAGCATATTAAAA